AAAACGGGAAATGAGAGAGGGAAGGGAAGGAGGGCAGGTGGCGGGTGGGCGGCCGGCTCTCGCCGCACTGAGGTGGTGGGGGGGGATCGGGATCTGTCACCACTGCTTCGCTCCACTTCCACACACGGTCCGAGAACAGGTGTCGATTCTGTTTCATTTCCCAGTCGTTGGTCCGACGTGCCACCTCCTGACAGGTATTTTATTTTGAAACCGAGTTCGCTGTCGTTCCTCCCCTCCCTCCCTCTCCCCCTCCCTCCCTTCCGCACCCACAGTGACTCCCAGATCCTGCACACCGTTCCCATCTGTAACGCTTTCTGATCCCGACGGTGTGGCTATTGGTCCCTGTCCTGTTGCTAGCATTGTGCCTGTCTTATGTATAATCACATCACCAAAAAAAAGGAAAAAAAAAATACAAAGGACATTTTTTTTTTTTTTCCATTTTGTAATCGTAAAGAAATAGTAGCTAAACTGCTTAATGGTTGGGGTTTTCACAATTTTCAACATTATCTAGTGTTTTTGGTTCTGTTCTAGTTTAAAGGATTGTCATCGTTTCTTTAAAAAACAACAACAATGCTACCATATCCCTCTGCATAAGTGCTTTTCTATTTATAAGGTTGAAAATTCTGAATAACCCTTTTAGCATTATAAAAACCACAAAAAAACCACCTTGTATTTTGTAAATATTTTCTTTTCCTGCTTTGAGCTGTGTAATGTCCTTGTTATATAGAAATGCTTTTCTTCCGAGAAGCTGATCTTTGTTAATGTCTTGATTCTGTTGGCAAAGCACAAATGTGCTTATAAAAAAAAAAAAAGAAGAAAAGATTAAAAAAAAAATTAAAACAGAACATTCTATGCAAAGTGTGTTTGTGAAACGCTGGGCTGGGAAGTGGAAGGGGCCCTTCCGCGCGCTCAGCCCGGTCTTGGGCGGATCAGCCGCTTCCCTCCCACCCCGCGTTTCAATGGCCTCTTTTTTTCCTGTAGAACGTTATTTCCCAGCAGTTCTCGTCAATTAGTGAAAAGAGGAATTGTTTTGCGGGATCTCCGGATTTGGGCTTTGCACCGAGATGCGCGATGGAGTGGGACCGGGGCTTGGTGGTGCTTCCCTGGGAGAGCTCACGAGAACCGAGCTCTGCCTTCGTGTCGCTCAGTCAAACCACCCGGGCTGGGCGAGGAGTTTGTTTTACGTTTTCAGGGTTAACCGGTTGCTGCTGATTCGTGCCCAGGTACCCTTTGTGTAAATTGTTTGCCCTCCTGGCAGGTTTTGCTGTGAAAGTTGATTGTTGGCAAGAGCCGAGTGGTGGGAGGCGACTTCTTTGGGTGCTCCTAAATTTCCAAGACGAGAGAGTTACACTTTGTGCGTCCTTCTCCGAGTGGATGGGAGACGGGAAGGTGCCGGGTGATTATCAGCCAGATGATCAGAGAAGTAGGAGGCAGCAACCTGGGCATCGCTGGACTCATTACAAGTAATTAACGGGGGAGGAAAACCAATCTGAAAAGCAAACGGTGGCGACGGCGGCTGCATGAGCAGCTGCGCCGCGCTGGAAATTTCTCTGACCTGCACAAGGTGGGGGGGTGGAGGTGCGGCACAAGGGCTCGTGGTGCTGCTTTGTGGCTGCTGCGGTGCCGGTAACTGGGGGATCTCGGGCTGCAAAAGCTGCAGCTGTAACGGGCTGGAACTGGGGAAGGGGAATGAGGCATTGCTGTGATGCGAAGCAGCCTCCAAACAGCCGTGGTACTGGGGGTGGGGGGGCAGAGCTGCATTTAGGCTTGCTCCGCAGCTGAGAAAATGTGGCCACGGTTATGCAATGAGCCAAAAATAAAAGTTGGGCTTCCTGGTTGCAGGGCCTCTGCCCTGCCCCACCCTGCCTGCGCTGCCCACCAGACAGGGCCTCCCCTTCCTGCACCCCAGTTTGGGGCAGGAAGAAGCGCGGCCTCCCTGCGTGCTGCAGGGAAGGGGAGCTGGCGAGCGGTGGCTGGTACTTAGAAATCGGTCCCTGCCCATCTTCACCGCTCCCCGGTAGCTGGTCCTGCGGCCCCGGTGCGCTGGCAGGGCTGTGGGGGACCCAAAACCTGGCTGAGCCTGAGCCTGGTCCCTGATCCTGGTCCCAGGTCCCTCCTGCTCCCCGGGCGCTCCCCCCTCTGTGCAAAAGAGTCGGCGTTTATCGTAGTAATGACTTTATTTCCAAATTCACTTTTACGGCAACAGTGTAACCCAGTTGTTAAAACGCACGATACACTATGGACATTCACAGACAGAAGCTAAGCTAGAATGATACACTGAGATCAAACCTTCCCTCCCCTCCCCAGCGCACCGCGGGGGACACGGGGCTGCCAGCACCACCGGCAGTCTGACACTGGAAGTTCATTTAACAAGCGTATTAATTTTTTTTGAGTGCAGAAACACGTGGTTTTTTTGAGTCAGTGCCGGTTTTAACCCTTTTCAGACCAAGATGTGTGTGGAGTAAAGGAAAAGCCATGGGTCAGTCTGTCCAGTTGCCCATGGTAACCCTCAGGCCTGGGTCTGAACATCGGGGCTGGGGTTGTGGCTCGGGCTGCTGGAAGGGGACAGCAGGAGACGCGGTGGATGGAAAGGGCTGTCCCGGGACCCCCCCGGCAGCCCCCGCGGGGGAGGACAGGGGTGCGAGGAGGATGGCAGACGGGGCTGGGGATGCCCGCTCAGCTGAGGACACTGGCAGCAGGAAGGGACGGCTCACTGGAGCTCTCCCGCATGCCAAGGACGCCCCTGGCCCGGGGCGTTGGTGACCCTCAGGAGCTGCACAGGGGGCCGGGGGGGATGGCACAGGGCAGTGCCAGGACGGGCAAGCTCAGCTACACACCGTCCTGCAGCCGAAAAGGGTTAAAAGGGGTGACTGGCGTTCGGTGGTTCTCCCACTTGCTCGTTTTACAGAGGACAAAAATACCGCAGCGGCTCCTACATCCTACACCGATACAAAGATAGTCACAGACTGGAGTACAGAGTCTTACAATCATAGTCAACTGAAACGGAGCGAGTGACAAGCTGGATGTGGGCTTTCGCTTGACCTGTTCGTGTTGGTGCTGGACCAGCCTCTCCCCAGCAGTAAAGCAGCTCCTGGGGCTGCAGAGAAAACCGCCATCTCCCCCAGACAACCGTCTTTGGCGCTGGACAGGCCTCCGGCTTGGGCTGCTGCCCAGCCCGCCTGCAGCAGCAGCAGCCCAGCGCCGCACGGGAGAACCCAGTGGAGCCGAGCGAAGGCCGCAGCAGCATGGCAGGTTCATCGGCTCCTGCTAAGGATGGGAGCGGGCCCTGTCCAGGGAGGAACCCCTGCTCTGCCCCAATTAACAGCTGCTGAAACTGCCTCGGTGGCACCCAGCCGCCATCCCAAGGACAACCTGTGCTCCAGCAAGACCCCCCCCCCCCAACCGTTGACCCAGTCAGACCAGGATTTCGGCCCCCTTGCTGGGAAAGCACGGCTTTCCCTACAGCACGGCCCATGGGGTGCACGGTCTGCGGCCCCCCCCCCTCCGCCCTCACCGCCACTGTCAGCAATACCCCACCGCTCGGCCGGTGCCTCTCGGGGTGAGACGGGGAGGGAGGACGCACACTGAGCTGCACTGATCGCACCTCAGCCTCTTTGGTTGTAGAAGGAAGGGGACAGCCACGGGTGCAGCACAGCCCCGGGCCACCCCCTCACGCTCCCTAGGTTGCCACAGGAACAAAAGCAGCAAAAGAAATCAGTGTATCAGCTCTTTTCCCCTGTGTGGTGCCGGGGGTTGGTTAGCGCTGTCTGAAGGAGACGCTATGAGGGGTAACATGCTGCAAATGCAAACCAGGAGAGCACCCGGGGAGGGGGTTCAGTGCCAGGGAGCAGCCTCTGGCCCCCGAGCGCAGGCTGGGACCTGGGGGAGCTGGCACCAGCTAAAACCACCCTCGCACCTTCCCCTCGCGTCCTCCCGGGTGTCTCCTCCTACCGCTGCCAACAGCACGAGAACAGCAGAGCCATGGAGCTGCCACTTCCGCGATCTCTTAGCTGACCTTGCAGGGAAAAAAAAAGAACAACCCAAAAATGTTACAACCTGCACCCAAACCCAGGGGCCATCCCAGCGCTGGAGCTGCGAGTGCCCCTCATAGAACAACCGCGGGCCCTGGGAGGCGTGCAGCCCCGGGGGAGCAGCGCAGAGCTGGGAAGCCCCAACGCAGCCCCCCCCCACAGCCCTCTCCCACAGCCCTCTCCAGGGAGCAAGGCAGGGGCTCTGTGCCCACCCACGCACCCGGCAGACATGCGGTGCCGGGCTGCCCCATCGGCGCCAGGTCTGGGCACAACCCGGAGCTTGGCAAAGCTCCCCCACTCGGACCCTCCTCGCTGGGCTGTGGTGGAGCCGGCGCGGGGGCAGCTCAAAACTACTTACAGCATTTTTTTTTTTTTTTAAACACATGCTCATTTATGAAAACAATCACCCTGGCACGGTCCAAGCATATACAGACAAATCTACTCTACGACACGAGGGGCTGCCAAAGGAATAGGGAAAAGCCTCTACTCATCCACTCAGCGGTTCCAGCACAGCCACGGAGAAGGGAACGGCCGTCCGGGGCCCCTTCCGCAATGGGATACCCCGGCCTCGCCAGTACTCCAGCTGCCGGAGCTGAGAGCGGGTTTAGGGGATACCTGGCAGTTATCTTCATACACATCTCGGCTTTCAGAGGTAAAAACAAAAGGTTTCTTCCAAATCAGCAGGCAAATTTAATGCAGAAAGGGAGGGCACCTCCCTGCAGTCCCTGGCTGCAGCACCCACTACCTCTGCTGCCTGCAGGCCAGATTTCCAGCCCGGGCATCGTTAGGGTAACGAGCATGGGAAGGTCACATCCCCTCCCATGAGGACCTCCCGCTGCCCTGTGCTGCGGTGTGGGGTGCTCGGGTCAGCGTTGTGCTGTGGCTGTCCCCTTTATCCCCCTCCCCGCTTTCCCAGGGTGGGTGGCCCCAGGCAGGGCTGGGACAGCGAGGGACCTCGCAAGGGGACGAGGGAGGGAGTGGGGGACTGGCATGGGCTGTGCGCTCCGAGGAGCAGGGGAGAGGAGGTTTTGTACCTCATAGTGTCACTGATTTTGAAGTCCTGGAGCTAGAGCTGAATGAACAGTAAAAGCAGGTTAAATCATTAACCAGTTAGGGGATGGGGAAGCAGCTGTAAAAGGAACAGAGGAAGAAGGCCAGATTATTATTTTTGTTTCTTTTCTTTTTTTTTTTTTCCCTTGTCTTCTCTCATCTTTGCCCGCCGTGCCCCGATCACAAGCCCTGCTTGGCCAGCGAAGCAGACACTTCGTCGGCTAGCGTGGCGAGCTGGGGGGAGTCCACCATATTGATGCTGCCGGTGGAGGAGACGTTGCTAAGGCGGCGCGGGGAGGCATCTCCGGAGATGGTGGGGGACTTGTAGACGATTTCAGCGCCGTGGTCGGTCTTGGCTTTGGCGTTCTCACGGAAAGTCAGCTTATGAGTCTCAATCTGCAACGAGAGGAGAGGGTGGTGAGCGGGGAGGATGCGGGACACCATCTGGAGAGGCCGTTTTTACCTGCAAACTGTCCACTCGGTCACTGCCATTGTGCAGCTGGGAGGAAAGCTCAGTTCATTGGCCTGATGCCCCCAGTGCCCCCAGTCTTCAGGCATGTCCCTTCCAGTAGCCCACACAGGGAAGGGGCACAACCGGAGGGGATGGCAGGACTGGAACATCTCGGGATGCTGCCAAATCCTTCCCAAGCGCCCAGGCCCGGTGTGGCGGTGGGTCCCAGGCACAGGACTCAGACGGCACAACCTGGGCTGCTCCCTCTCCCCTGGCAGAGATTTATGGAAGGGGTGGGATCCCCACATGGCGCATAAGGCTGCCCCTTAACCCACAGCCCAGTTGGGCACACAAAACGCTGCTCCCACGAGCCAAACCCCTCTCTCCCGGCAAGCGCAAGGGCCAGGGAAGGGAGGTGAAGTGGATCGGGTTTGCTACTTACTGGTGCCCTCCCCAGCCGAGTGCAAGGCTGGGAGCTGGCTCTCCGGGGGGGTGGGCGGCTCCAGCACCAGGGCCTGGAGCCCAGCGGGGTCTGGGCTCGGGGTCCGAGCAGCCTGGGGACAGGTCTTGTCTTCCTTGCCTTTCTCTCTCTACAGGTGAAGAAACCCGCCCAGGGCGGTGGGGTGCAAAAAACGCATCAGCAACAAAAAACAAGATCCAATAAATGTCAACCAGAAGGAAAAAGACAAAAAATAAGAAAAGAAATAGAAAATTGGGGAGAAAAAGATCTGAAAAACAGGGCCATTCACTGACTCACAGGAAGAACAGCAGCTGCCTTTGGAGACAGGGAGGAAAGCTTTCCATGTGCAGCAAAGGAGAGCAGATGCTGCCGGCACAGGTACTTTGGCAGAGCACACCGGCTCCCCATGGCAGACCCAGTGCAGGAGTGGCACGTGAACCAGCGTTCAGCCTAAAGAGCTGTGGACTGTGTGTCCAAATCTGGATCTTCTGTGTCGCAGAGCAAGGAGGTGACTGGGGACATGGGAAATGCTGGGGAAGGGGCAGTGGAGCCGCCCACATCTGCTCTATGTGGAGGGTTGATGGGCCTCAACTGTGTCCTGTCTCCTTCCTGCAAATAGAGCATCCCACCTTGGAGTAGCACTGCCTGAGGATGGTCCCTGGTGCCAAGGTGAAATGGGAATGGGCTGGACAAGAGAAGCAATCTGAGGCAGCATCTGAACTCAAGTTACACTGACAACCTCCTGCAGGTGTGGATTTAGGCAAGGTATGGGCAACTGCCACATAGGAAGGCTGAGGGCAGGTGACTGGGTCACACCCCTGCAAATGAATTCCCCCTCCAAAGGGCAAGTTCTTCAAACTGTGGCCCAGTGAATGTGCCAGGATATGAAAGAATCATCACTGTAATCATAAAAACAATTAAAATGGGCTTAGTGAAGCACAGGGCAGTCTGATGCGTAGCAGCAGCGAGAGAAGGGTAAGGAAGTCAAGCGATCCCTCAGTCAGAGGCCAGCACACCGCTGGGAGATGAAGAGATGGGAGGTGCACAGAGAAAACGTGGCCAAGAACAAAGTGCCAAAATACAGGAGCCGAAAGAGAACTTTCCCCTCCCATTGAGAAAAAAGTGTTTGAAAAACAAGCAAGATAAAAACCACTCTTCCCTGGAGAAATTCACCCATGTGTGTCACCAGGCTGGAGTCTCAACTCTGTGCTTACCTGATCTCCCTGCTCCCCTGCCTGCAAGGGATTTGGGCGTCCCTGAAGCGAGGTTGTAGAGGTGTTTCACTTAGCTAAGACTTACTGTGAAGTCACCATCAAAGCCTCTGGCAGGAACAGCTCACCCCAAGTTCAGTATTTCACCTGACCTGATTGGCTTTTGTCTTTCAATTTAAATCCCCCCAAACACACACCACTCCCTACACAGAGTACTCGGTCAGTCTCACCTGAGACTGAGACTTGAAGTAAGATGAGATCACCTTTCTTGTGAAGTGATGCCCTACTGCAAAGTCACCTTTTCTAAATAAAGCTAAGCCTTTAATGCTCCACTTTCACTGGGGAACCAACACCTGTGCAGCACCCTGAGCTGCCAGCTTTGTGCCACACCACTGAGAGTAATTTGCAACGCAGAGTGCAAAAGCAGTTGCTGACAGTGGCTCCCCTTGATGTGAAAGGTTTGACAGACAAACGTGTTTCTGCACAAACTTCAGAGAACAGCAGAAAAAGCAGGAAACCACAGGAGAGGATATCACATTCACACTCATTCAGGTGGCCATGGGCCAGGAAGAGGACAGAGACTGCCATCCTCACAGCTCTGCCACAGCTGTGCTCTGGCAAGTGTCCTCCAGGTTGGCAAATGCAGCCCAGGAGTCCTCAGCTGTGCCCGCCTGCAGCAAGCCGCTGGCAGGAAGGCAAGCTGGCTGTTTGGGCAGCGGCTGAGCAGCCTGTCCCTGGGCAGGGTGCTTTTTGTCCTCTGAAGGACAAGCATGCACAGACCACCCCACGCTAGAACATGGGCAGCGAATCGTTTCAAGCACTGGGGAAGAAGTGCTGCCTGGTAAGCAGAGAGGAGAGGCCATGTGGTCTAAAGATGAGCTGGGTGAGCAGGACCTTCTCCGAGTCCAGACTTCAACCGCTCTTTGCTGGCATGCCTGCTCACAGGACAGACACTTGCAGCAGAACAGCATGCCTGTTCTTGACCCAGTGCCCCTTTACCTTTTTATTTCCTCCTCCAGGGACGTGGCTGATGTTATCTAAGGACCCGATTTTCGATTGCACCTTATCTTTGAAGTCCAGTTTCTCAGATTTCACCTCCACCTGGCCACCACCTGGAAGAGAAGAGCACGAGCTGGGTTAGCTCCTGCGCCAGCCAGGGCAGGCTGGAGAGAAAGCACTGAGGTCTGAGCTGCCGTTCCAAGGCAGCTCAACCAAAGCACTCTGAGGCTGAGCAGAAGGTGAGGACCAGGAAAATGGCAGCAAGAGGGACCGCATGGTGATTTGGGAAACCCAGGAGCCAGGCCAAATGGGAACCAGGGTAAAGAGACTTTCTAAAGGATGCTGTGCAGAGCTGACAGACAGACATCCCAATATTTTACAGAACCAAGGGCAGGGAGCTAACCTTACTCCCCTAAACACCAGCAGTCACACCTATTTATTCCTAAATACTTCCCATTTACAGTGATGCGTTGGCACAGACAAGGGTGTCCATGGATCACACCAGATCCCTCCCCTACTACCAAGTGGTCAGGCAGACTGGAGAGGGTCTGGCAGTGACAGAGCTGAGAACAGAGTCCATCACCCCAGGACTCACTCTGATGCTCCAGTCACTGTTCCACATGCCTCCCCTCACGCCCTGCACTACACCAACCCTCTCCCTGTCTCCAGATGCACACCATGACGCAGCCTGCGAGCTCCCAAGGACCAGCACCCAGTGCTGCTGGATGCTGCAGAGTCGAAGGGTACCTGGTTTGTGATGGATGTTGCCCAGGGAACCACATTTGGATGTCACATGGCTCAGGTCGACTGGCTTGTAAACGATTTGAACCTGTCCGTACAAGAAATGAAAAAGCAATGAGCTTACTGCCACCATGGGCAACCTGGGGAGGGGGAGGCACAACACACACCGGCACCTGATCTGGATTCAAGGGAAAGGACAGCTTAAACCCCAGTAAGATTAATAATACAAAAGAAACTGTCATCAGAAATGGGAGATCATTAATGCCCATGTGCAGTAGCCTCTCTTAACATGTCAGCATGCACAAGATCACCTCTCCACAGAGGGGGGAAGTAGAGGCAAGTTTAAAGTGCTTAAGTGAGAGAGAAAGTGGAGTGGTAATTAATTAAGATTTGCATACACATCATCCAAAAGGAAGAGATATACCAGAGAGAAAACGTAAAAAATAAATACCTTTTCTGGTGTAAAACATAAAGCTTATGTCCACAAAAACTGAAAGAACAGAAATGATCAATGTGCACAGAACTTTTAAAAGAGTGACCAAAATATGCATTTCTGAAAAATGCTGTAACGGAAATAGGGGTTAAAAAAAAAGCAAAGCAAAGTCTAAATATCTGGTAGGAGTTCACATAATATAAATTAAAATGTCAATTATAATATATTGAACCACAACAGTATTTCATGATATTACGCTCTGTTTTTTTTATTTGTTTCACCCATTATGTCTCTGAACATGGGCTCCAGCAATTCCACTTAAACCACCCCATTCAAAGACCAGCCACAGCACTGTGGCATGCCTGGGCGTGGGGCCGGTGGCCTCCTGTGCACGGACAACTGGGTTACACGAGACGCACACAAAAGGAACAGTTAACGTGGAGCTGTTTAGTGGTTACGTTAGCGGTTAAACACCACACTGGAAAACACCAATGACTGGAGAGGTCTGGGACCATCAGGCATGTCAGAGACAGCAAACCACAGCACGTACACACCAGCTACATAAAGAGCAGGAGACAAGGGGGTGAGAAAACATCCCCATACCCCCAGAAGTTATCTTGGACCCTGGTTTTGGACTCACACCTGTGTGTGAATCAGCTACTGCTGTAGTTAGTTGGGCTGTGCAGGAGAAATCCATCATCAACACCTCAAGGTTGGTTCCTACTCACTGGGATGTGTCTGGCTCTCAGTAACAGCCTGGATTACAAGGGGAGCATATGCTGCTCTCTGTGTTTTCACAAAGCACCACGGTGGGCGTGCTGCTCTTACAAACTTCGGGAAGGATGTGCCAGCACCAAAGGGACCTTTGCAGAGGAGCTGACTCTTCCAAGCAGCGAGGCAGCCTCCGGACCAATGTGGCCGAAAGCCAGCACAAAGGATTCACCGTAGCCACTGCTCTCCATCGCACCTAAGCACCCTGTGCTAACTCAAAAGTCCCGGGGTGAAGGCGCATCCTTCAGTTTTCATGTTGGCCCCGTGTCCACTGGCCCCATCACCCTCAGAGCTAGGTGCTGGAACTGTGGTTGTGCACACCTCTGAGAAACACTCCACCCTCCATCATCCAGCCAGGAAAAGGAGGGGGGGGAACAGAGGCTCAGTGCCATCGTCCCACCAGCACAGAGCCAGAGCACCGTGCATGCTGGCCTGCCTTGTCTCCGATGCTCATGCATACCAAAAGGCACATTTGACAGAGTGGAGACAGAGAGAGGGGAGAAAAGCAACCCTAGGGTCTGGGAGCACATCGCAGACACAGACATGAAGACAGCATTGGGGAAAGATCACACATTTAATGCACTGGGCAGGAGGAGCACTAGATTCAGTCAGAAGGCAGGAAACAGACCGCAAAAGGACAGCTGGCACCTTTCTAATCCCAGCCGTAACCCTGAAGGGTCTTGTAAGCAATTCGGGCACCACTGGGACCTGGAACTGAAAGACCTCCCATTTCCAGAGCAAGCAATCAACAATTGAAACACTTTCTGCTCTCATTCCAGTTCCCTTTTTTTACAGACAGGACTCCATTAACCCTTACCATCCTGCTGGGGAGCAGAGAAGGCTCCTCCCCTTTTTAGCAAGAAAGGAAAAGGGGCACAGAGTTGCTTGCCTGGGAAACCAGTGCCAGAGACCTGGGGATCCCACCTCTCAGCTTCAGCAATGCTTAGGTCAACTTTTGCCTCATGCATCACCTCGTCAGAGCCTCCACTGGCTTAAAAAAAAAGATACCAACCCCAGGTTACTGTAGCAACAGTCATTCGTCTTGAAGCAGCAATGGCTGGGCAGGCAGTCACTGCTGACAGCGTCGTGGAGGATTAAGACATGACGGCCATCGAAACCCAGTAGTCTTTTGTTGCCCCTCTATTGGAGGAGCCCCAAGGCACAGCTCTGCAGCCAGGACAGCCTATGCAGCCATGCTTTGGCCACATCAGCACATGGCTTTGCTCCGAGCGCCTGCACCCAGAGCTAAGCTGCTGCTTTCCGTGTCAACACAGCCAGCCAGAGATCACACGATTTTCACTGCTGGCAGAGCCTGAGGAGGGATGACAACCTCCATCCAAAAATCCAGATAATTCTTAACCCACTGCAGCCACTGCAGCTGCAAACGCTTGCCCACGGTGTGAGCTCTCAGTGGAGAAAAGGATGAGCTCACCACCCTGTGCTGAAGCTAATTACCAGCCACAGCACAGATGATTCGTGACGAACACTAACTCCTGGCATAACAAGTGGCCCACCATGCACCAGGCAGTCCAGCTGGTGCAGGACCCTGGGATAAGAAAGAGCAGAACAAGCATGGAACCTGCTTCACAGAGGTCTGACCTCCGCAAAGCAGCTCCTCTGGCCCATTAAATAAATGGAGAATGACATCAAATTTAAGACGGAGGTTGCAAACCCAGTTATGTCCCAATGCTTATGTGCCAAGCCCTCTGCAATGCTCAGTTTCTCAGGGAGGGCATCCACAGAGATCAAAAACAGCACAAAGAAAATCCATCAGGAACATCTGAGAGGCACCAGATAGCTTCCACAGATGGCCACAGACCAGGCAACCACAGACCCTGGGTTCCACTGTTTGGGGCCTCAGTGATGCACCTTCCTTGGTCCGTCAGCTTTCCTGGACCCAAACTCTGTCTCCAGAGAGACTGGTGTAAATCTGCCAACCTCTGTGGAGATTCTCCAGGTTTCTGGCACAGTAACTGAAAACTGAGTCCGGCTATTTATCTGGGAATGGCTGGAAATGCCAGCATTCAAATCAATTAACTCAATATTACTTTAGGCTCAGCCTCCATGGGCACTGCCAGACACATTTCATTAGCAAGGAGAAGCTTAATATTTGCATGGATCATACTTGCCTGATGGGAATGGGCAGGAACCTGTGCTTTCACATGTTATGCAGAGTCATGTGCAATTTAGCAGTACATTAAGCAACGAGGACTGTGTTTGCTTATAAATCTATCCATCTACTGCATCAGCAACTACGTCACTGTCTGCTAGAGGCCACCCATCCTGCAGACAATGAGGCATTAAGCCTTCCAGGTAGTGTAAAACCATCGAGTTACCAGGATGTTTTGTAACAGACATGGTTTCTACACACGTCAGTTAGTTCTGTCCATGACAGGCATGTACAGGACTTGTTAGGGTTCATCTAACCATGTCTTTTGGGTTAATGGGGTTAAATGACAGCACGTCACCAATCGCTATCTGACAGCAGGGTCGCTGCAGATAGCATTGGCAATTTAGTGTATACAACATGCCACTAATAATAAGGATTATTACAGTGCATTCAAAGTGTGAAGGTACTCACACTGCCTCCTCCTGGGATGTGTTTGATATTATCCTTTGAGCCACACCTGGATTGAACGCTGCTAAAGTCCAACTTCTTATTAACAATCTGCACCTTTGGTAGCCAGAAAAGAGTCATTGCACGTCACCAATAGCTATCTGACGGCAGGGTCGCTGCAGATAGCATCGGTGGTTTAGTGTATACAACATGCCACTTATAATAAGAACTATTACAGTGCATTGAAAGTGTGAAGGTACTCACACTGCCTCCTCCCGGGATGTGTTTGATATTATCCTTTGAGCCACACTTGGATTGAACGCTGCTAAAGTCCAGCTTCTTATTAATAATCTGCACCTTTAGTAGCCAGAAAAGAGTGTGAAAAACAACATGACCATCTGCAGCTTGACCATGCGTTATATCACTAAAACCAGGAACCTGCCTTCCAGCATCAAGAGCAAAGCAGAACCTCTGGCTTGCTGCATAGATTTGTCTACTCATGGGTTGGAAACTGAAGATGGAGGTGGGCAGGTTATACAGATTGGATATGCCTGGCTAGCAAAGCAGCCATGGTTTCCAGGCCAGAAACACTAGCAAAAAAGCCAGCTCACCCCATTTTCTTCCACTGAACAAAACAGGGAACTTGCTGGGCAGCAAACGTGCTGGAAGCCACCAGTGTTCTGAGACTCAGCTTCAGCACAGCCAGTGGAAGGAGGAAGGATAGAGCTGAGAGAAGAATGCCTGCTCAGCTCCATCTCTTGTGCAGGGCAGCACATCCCCTCTCTAGGACAGAGATACATGGCCTCATGTTTCAGCAGCTTGAGCAAACTGGGCAAACGTGTCGGGGCAGCAGGCTGGAGAGCAAGAGTTGTGTGTCCAGCACGGTCTGGGAGAGAACACCTGAGCTCTGTGCTGTGCAGGGCTCAAACTCCCTCTGCAGTTACAAAGGGAAAAAGCAAATGCTGCCAAGGATGCAGTCCCATGCCTGCAATTTTCTTAACTCCTGTATAGATGAGATGAAAGGGGCAGCACAGACCAACCCCAAAGGCAGCTGCTCTACTGCATATTCCTAACGCCATCTCAGGTGGGGGAGAGGCTGGAAATGGCTTGGTGCCACAGGGGAACCACATACCATGCTCACTTCACCCTCCAGTCCCAAAGCCTGCCTGCCTTCTCTGCCACACACAGATTTTTGTACTAATGAAGCTGTTTCCATTTAGGGCTTGTTTTCCCTATTTGGGTTTTATAAGGGCAGCTATGCTGGAGTGACCCCACACATAGGAACAGCTATTCAAGACAACACAAAGATGAAGATAGTCCCTGCTCCTTCCCCTACATGGACTGGAGTGGCTTTACAGCCCACGCAAATATAAACCAGAGGTGACTGTAGGTGAAAACCAGCAGGCACACAGGCCTCCACTCCCTCAGGAGAAAGCCTGTCTGAAGCACAACCCTCATGAGAGGGAAAGAGACACAGCATCCTGCAAGAGAGCAGCATCACATCACGCTGCACATGCAGTCCTTGGATGACAACGTCCACAAAGCTGGCTGAGCAGGGAACCCTGCCCTCCATTTCAACATGTCCCCTGCCTGCTGCTGCAAGAAAAGCTCCTCTCTATACCCTGGTCCTTTAGCATGAGAAGCACCAAGGCTGACATGTCTCCAGTGTTGTTTTCCAAGTTCACATCAACTAATCCTGCAAATCAAGACCCAGTTCTGCTAGACCAGGCTTTCCCAGAGCAGTATTCAGTGATCCAGCAACAACAGAAGTGCTCAGACAATGCAGAAATACTGGAAGAGAAGTGGCCTTGCTGACTCCTTGTGTGTGTGCCCCATGTACCTTTGCTTCCCTAGGCTGGGAGTCTGAAATCTGTGTGGAGAGCAGGCTCCAGACCCATCTTCTGGCCACCCTAAAATCAAACTTGTGGGATCAGCCCGTTCTGCTCCAGCTGCAACCATTCGGCTAAGAGCAGGCTCGTGTCCTACAAAATCCCCAGCAGAGCATCCAGCTATTCTTCCCTGCAAAGAGCAGTGAATTGTCCCAAATTCAGCTGTTCTTACTTTTTCAGTGACAACAATAAACATGTTGCCTGACAGAGAAAAAAAAAACCCTCCTAAAAGCTGGATTTAAAAGAACGAGCAATTTAACCAATTTACAGTAAACGGAAGGATTCCTTCTAAAATCCCTGAAGAAGAGTGTTCTGTGGGGACAGCAGGAAAAACTTAGGCCTTGTGCTAAGCAGGCAGGAGGGCTGAGGCCGCGGGACATGGGCAGCTGGAGGGACACATGCTGCTCTATTCATGACCAATGGCCAGAGCAGCCCTGCCCAGGCTCCAGAGCCCCTCTGGATTGTAGTACAAAGCAAAATGTGCATTGTCCACTAAATCGCCAGCCCTGGCAAAAAATGCACATAAGGAAATGTAAAGCACGCTGCTATTTAAGATGGTGAAGAGAAGCCATCTCAAAGCCTCCCCCCATGCCAAAGTTGAACATTCAGAGCCACGTAGTTACCTAGTCGCACAAAATAGCATGCACCACGCTTGGGGAAGATTTGTTAGGGCTCTGTTGCATTAGCAGCTGCAGAGCAAGGTCTGCAAGGCAGCGTTCCCCTCGGGGCAGGCAAGCACAAGCACACAGAGACTCCTGACTGCACCAGCCATCAGATGTGCAGTTCTGTCATTTAAAATCTGTATAAGAGCCACCAGGCCTTCACCAGCCAAAGGAACCAGGTGCTTTCACATCTCCACCCACACAGCAAGGAGGATTTTATAAAAGCCTCAGGACATGGCCACACAGTGCAACGCAGCAGTGCAGAGAGGCTCAGATGGGTGCTGAGCAGCCAATACCACAGCTGGAGCTGTGTAACCACACACTGCTGCTCTTGGGGCTGCATGGATTAATTAGCTCACATCACTCCTTCACCCAAACTCTCCTCTGCTGGACTTACAAAATTTAACCCAACACCCTCGTTCCCAAGCACCTGGAGCACGGAGTTCACTTTGTTGCTTGTGAAACAGCCTCTCTGGGAGTGAAAAGTACTAGTGGTTGAAAGGATAATAGTGCCACCAGTTCTGGCCTTGCCACACTGCATCATATAGCAAGACAGCGCCTGATTGCAGAATGCAATCCAAAACCTTGCAACGGAGTTGGATCCAAAATCCCAACGTTCTGAAAAATGTGCCGAGCCTGGGACCCTCACAAGGAGGAGACCATCCTGTCTGCTCGCTAATGAAGAAATGGAGGCAGCATTGAAAGGACTGCTCCAGATCACACAGTATAGGATTCAGAAACACAACCCTCATCCTGCGACTCTTTAGGGCTGCAGGTCACAATTTGCTCTCCCTAACTGGACACCACAAGGGAATGTCATTCTCCTAGCAGCCAGTCCATACGTTGACCTACCACCCCATGAAAGCCACATCACAAGCTCTCTGCAGTCCTCTCTGCAGGACAGCTTTGCTGCACTAAGCCAGGCAAACAATTTCAGGACAAGCACCCAACCCAATCAACACAAAAAACTTTAAAATCAGAATCAGGCTGGAGATCAGCTGAAGCTTGGCTGCCCACTGCTGTATCTCTCGCCCCAGCTGGGCTGCTGCTGCTCCAGGGAAGGCTCTCCTCTCCCGGATGCAGTGTCAAGCACCCACTGTCCCTACAGACAGGCTCCTGGAAAGCAGAGTCCACATTTACCTTGCCACCTCCAGGCTGGTGCTTCAGGTTTTCAGTTGAGCCAATTTTGGACTTCACATTTTTCAGATCAGGCATGGGTGCGGCTGACGGCTGGATGCGGCTCTTGGCAGAAGCAGGAGATTTCGGTGGTGTGCGAACCACTGCCACCTTCTTGGGCTCCCTGGCTGGTGGGGTGGGCAGAGAGGGAGTGCGGGAACGGCTGCCTGGAGTCCCGGGGGAGCCGGGACTGCTGTAACCGCTTCTGTCTCCAGACTTTGGCTGCTCACCTGAAGTTTGCAGACAGAGGGACGCAAGCTCAGGATAAGCAATCTGGGTACACAATCCCTTCCCCACTCACTGCCTGCCTTTATAGGGTTGATCTGCCTGGTCCCAGGGCCTACCCGCTACTCCTAGTGCAGACCATCAGTAGGGGGGAGATGGCTGCACTTTCTTCTACTTCATTTCGAAGTGAAAACAGTGATTAAGGCAATTTCCTAATATCTCAGAAGGAAGATGGTCTTCATTGTCTGCACCATTAAGACTCCCCACCCGAGCATGACATTAGCATGCATGACAAATTACAGACAAAAGACACTCAAACGAAACTGCTTTTCTATTAGAAATTTGGAAGCATTTTTACAAAATTATTTTATGTAATTAAATAAGGCTGATCACTGAGCAGCTTAGAACTGTCCCCAGTTTGAAAAGAAATGGAAGAAGAAAATAAAACCCTTAAACATCACCTTTCTCAGACTTTGCTGCTGCAGGAGGTGGTTTTTTCTGCTCCTTTCTGCCTGTTTAATGAATGACAAAGATGCTTAAACATAATAAAGCTGGAAATGTAATTGATTTAAGGTTTTATGCAGCTCTGGTTAAGTATGAAAAATATATATATTCAGTGAAATGCAGCATTTTAATAGAAATTCACAATGCCTGATGCTTTCTGGGGTTTTCTTCTCTGAGAATAATGGGCTAATCTCCATTCCTGCAATCGAAGAATTGATCCTCTTGCCCCTGGTCTTTGTGAAGTATTGCCAAGAGAAAAGGAATAGATGGATTAAAAAAATGGAGGTGCCTAAATCTTCCAAATTGGAGGAAATCCCAAAGCGATAAAGCAACTGCTATCTCCTACACACTGGCAACTATATGAACAGACCAGATAAAGCAGCATCCAGAAAGGCTCACTTCAGAGGAATTGTCCCTAGCTCTGCACCCACAGCCCTGTGACAAGGCTGAGCAGCTCTGAATCACCACGCAGACCTCAGCCTGCTGGCCGTGTCCATGCTTAGCACTGTGCATGACCCCAGCCTGCACTGGGGCAAATCTGTTCACTACCCCCACATAATTGCATGGAGAGCCTGGGAGCACCACAAAAGCAGAGCCTCTAGAGTCAGAGACACCATGGGAAGGCAGCAGCACGCTGCTGTCACCATCACTTACCGGAGCTGGGAGGCGTCTTGGGGGCCGTGGGCGTCTTTGCTGGGATGCGCGTGGCATTGGTTGAGTTCCTCTGAGCCTGCCCAGCTGCAGATCGCGGCGTGGCCGTCTTCGTGCCACCTCTCATCTCCGGGCCCTGGGGACGCAAGGGGGAAAGGCTGATGTAGGGGAGATCTGCCCAGGGATGGGCTATCACCCCTCATGGATCAGAGCCACATGAGACCCTCCTGCTTCCTACCCTGACAGCCCGCAGGAGCTCCCACGGGTTTCCCCACATGCAGGCATCTGCGATGTACCCGTTCACACCCTGTCTCCCATCACAGCACCTGCCACAACCGCTGCACAGTCACTTGTGGGCTGGCAGAGTAGCTGTGCCGTTCCCATCTAAGCTCTTAGCTTCAGCTACATTATTCACCGCACACTCAGACCTGGTTAAAAAGTATGTTCAACTCCTTTGTCTGTTCTCTAAATTTCATTGTTCTGTTTCCCCTGTCCTGCTAAAATTTTGTACCGAAGATAAATAAATTCATTGACTAGACCAGAGGCTCTATTCAGGAGTACAGTGCCAGACTCCAAACACAGAGAAGCACCTCCTTTATCCTCACCTGTAATACACTATGGTAACATGTACATAATCTGTAATGGCATGTAAATAGCAATATGCTATTTATTGCCTTCTGACCCTGCAGAAAAGCCTCCCCAAATCTATTGCTTTCTAATGCTGGTCTGTTTACAAAAGCTTATGAAAAACATGCAAGTGAAAATTTACAGGCTGACTGGTCCCAAGGCAGCAGGGAACCAGAGCAGAGCCATGGCAATCCCTATCACAGTGAAACCATATCCCATTGTCCGTGACCTGAAATCTCTGCTCTTTCCCTCACCACGGGTGTATTTCTATGCCTAAAGAAACTCCAAGCTACTTTTTACATTGCAGAATAAGCCATGGATGTGTGTGCATCTCCTATTCTCTGTGTAGCACCTGGCAGATCTGGCTCCAGCACATTTCAAATGCATCTGCTGTTTACAGCCAACACACCCATAAAACATAGCATAAAGCTGCAAAAAAACAAAGAGCATGAAAGACCATAAAGGGACCTGGAAATGCCTCAGGGACACCAGGTAACACCCTGCAGCAATGAGATATTTTTGCTGTAACACAGAGCAAGAGGCCTACAGGCTGGTGAGACAGACCTGGTTGCTTCAAACACCAAAACTGGAGCCAAGTCTGGCCACGGCCACTGGAAGGTGAAGGGGAAGCACATCCCACCCTCTCCACTGAATGAGAGACTGCCCAGCCAAGTACTATCCATCAGACCTGTTGGGAATGCCTTAAGGTATTCCCCAAGGCAGCTTTGCCTCTCTCACATCTCATTTCCTTACCTTGGCTTTCGTTTCTTGCATTCCTGTACTGGCAGGTCGGGATGTGACAGAAGAGACTCGTTTAGAGGTGGAAGCAGGGCTGGAGGGTGTTTTCGAAGGGGTTGTGCTAGAGGAGGTGTGTCGTTGGGGGGGGATGGAGGGTCTATCGCCTGGGGGTTTGGCAGTGGAAGGTGAGGATTTCTTAAACATGGAAACAAAATAAAATTGGAACAAAAAAAAATCAGTATGGGAGGGAAACAAAAGGGGATCACCGACATTAAATAGGATTAGAAGGTGCAATACAGAACTGGGTGTGGGACAGGTGATGGCTGGTACTGCCCTCTCCCTGCAGCACAGAGCTGGGCAAGAGCTACAGGGTCCCATGGCTGCACCAGCAAGTACGGGATACCTAAGCTCTGTTCCTCCCACAGGGTGCAGCAACACCCAAGCCCCTTCCTGGGGAAAGTGCCACCCTGTGACAGCCTGTCCTTGCCACTGCCCTCCACACCAGTGGCACGTTTTACCATCTGAACTGCTCTATTTACTCCCAAACTCTCTATGTGCTCCACTGGCAAAGATGGTGCAGGTACAGCAATATCAACACCAGCATTTCTGGGAGATGAATATGACCGCTCCCAGGTCTCTCAACTCCCTCGTACCTGCTTTGTCAATAATGGATCACTGGTTTTTATCTAGACGATTGCTTGCTATCATGTCAAAAGCCAGGCCAGATACAACCCTGTCAAACCTCCCTAGGGAAAGACCCAATTTCACATGGTTTGAAAACAATTATATTCCTCCCCTTTAATTTTCACCCACTAAATTGTCCATCAGCTTGTCCATTATCTCACCCAGGCCCTAGCAAGGCTAATGGCCAGCTGAACTAAACCTCCTCCAAATTAGCAGTGTAACAGATATCTTTAAACTTCTGGAATTTAACCATTATTAAACTCTTGTTCCTCACCCAGAACACAGCATCTGAAAGGCCTAGATTATTTAATTTTTTTAATTACGTCTTGCTTTTTTCACTGTTACGCTGCTTGTCCCCAATAGAGCCCAATGCACTTTTGAGTTTGCTTTTGCACTGGTTTGCCCCAGCAAAGCCAGCTGTATGCTTTCCGGTCTCAGGCTGAGAAAATGATTTCTCTAACCACTCACCCACCCCCATGAGCCACATGTTTGTTTTAGATTTGGTTCACTTCCTCGCCCTCAAAGATCACCATGGATTGCACCATCCAAACCAGGGTGAGGGAAGGAAAAATAAAACCACTCTTGAAAGACAGACGGAAGAATGGAAGATAATGGCAAGGTTTCCTAAGAGGCACAACCACCATCCAGGAGAGCAGGAGAGGGAGTCAGGAACATGCACAGCATGTAGTGAGTTGATGTTACCTCTGGTTTTGTTTTTTAGCTTACCTTGGGTTTCTTTTCCTCAGCTTCAGTCCCTTCCTTGTCTTTGCTGTCAATACGACCTGACAAATGGAAACACACAGAGTTACACTTCTTGGGACTGGTCAGCAAACTCTGGAGAGATGATAATGCCTGAGCTACAGCAACATGCATGCTGGGTGGGTGTTCCATATTCCTGCTCTCCTTTAAATTAAATACTATTCTTAGAAATATTACAAAGTCACTCATTTCTTGCAGAAATAGTTCCACATCACAAACACATTCTTTCTGGGTTAACAGATTATCCTGTGCACAGGCAACAGCGCATTAGTCATCACTGGAGCATCAGACACACGCAACAAAGTTTGCATGAGACTATTTTGCCCAGATTTGTGCTCAGTTCTAGTAGCATCTGTTCAGTTTAGGACAGAACAGCTCTCTTCAACCCCAGACACAAGTCTCCCTCTCTAAAACACCCATTGGTTCTACCAGTCATATAAATAAAAACTAAAATTGAAGAATGCCCCAATCCTAACAGCACCAGGTTGCCCATGATCTCATTTAAAGTTGTTGTTCAGTGTGTTAGCTTTGCAAAGCATTTTTATACCCGGCTGTTGTTAATTCCCATCTCTCCTGACACACCGCTTTCTGCCTCCCCAGCAGACAGTCTGCCTTTGATCTGGGTCAGACCCTGCAGGGTCTTAAGGTTTTAGCTGTTGTCCTACTTGATTTGTATCAAGCTTACAGTGACTCTGACAATATTTCAGTGTTTTGTCCCATTAGTCTAGAAGCACAACAGACTGCAGTATTGCTAATTAGATTAGAAACAGGGAGAAAGTAACGTTTGTTCTGTAAGGCACTCCTAACAAAGCCCCTTTTCCCCATCTTCAGCTAATTCCACCCTAATCTGGGAGGAAAAGCTGCTGATATTCTCCCCAGTGTTTTGGAAATCTGTCCTGGGAGGTCAGCCCTTTCCTAGTGACATGAACAGTGTTGTTAATCCAGCACTGACCCATCCCAGCAGCCACTCCCAGAGCTGCTGGATGCACTACCCTTCCCAAATTCAGTTAAACTGCAGACTGGAGCAAGGCTGGAGCTGATCAGCCACAAAGTCTCTCTGCCTTTGAAGGAAAAGATCATTAAATAATTAAAGAAATTCCTCCCATTGAATCAGAAACTGGTAGATTCTGGGCAATGTATCCCCAACCCGCCATCGTTTTCAGGCTCTGATGCACGCGATAGCAAGCCATGCCAATGCCCTGCAGCACATGTGCGAAGCTTCCCGCTGGCTTATTAGGTAGTGAACAACAAGAAATATGTTATGAGCTTTAGCTCCAATGGAAAAAGCTACATCAACAATTTCTTCATGAACCCTGCGCAGGAAAGAGCATACTCTCTCTGCTGCAAACCAGAGCAGGATTTCCAGGCTAATGGAAGCACCCAGCTTTTGTGATGCAGCACTGGGGTGAAAGGAAGAGCTTCCCCCAGGCCAGGCCCTGGACAGCCAGAGCTAAGGTACAACATGGTGAGAGACCATCGGGTTTTAACATGTGTCCTGCTGCCCTAGCTTATTAATACAAGTCACTGCAAAACCTGCATTTGGCCACGGAGCAGGGGCCCTAGTGACACCCCTCTGACCCCTAGTAAAGGTGGAAAATAGCTCTTGGAGAAAGAAAAGGTCTGAGAGCTCCTCTGTTGGCAGGGATGCTCGTGCATTCAGCGGTGACCTCAGACCTTCACCCAAGACAGCCAAGACTGAGATTGCTGCATGAACAGGGCAGCTCCAGGGTCTGACTGCCCTTCCAGCCTAGCCTAGCCTAGAGACACACATGCTGTTAGATGCACCCAAGAGCTAGGCCTCCACACACACAGGCAGCTCCAGCAGAACACCCCAAATACAGCCATCGCGTTGGACCACCCAGGAACACATCATCCAGAACTAGGATCAGAGCAGGATGCTTTGTAAGAGCATTGGACATGCCCTGCAGTGGGCAAAGGTCCAGCTAGCTGTAGACCTTGCCTCCCACAGCAGTCAGTAGTGGACATTTAATGGAAAAGTACAAGAAACAGGAGCAATGTGGGGCCTTTTCCATGGTTAGACCTGCCATCTCACTTGTCTTTTTCCTCCTCCCTCCTCTTTAGGAAAGCCAATACAAAGAGTTATTGGACCGGACAGTGGACACATGCAAACCAGATGGCATGTGTCTTGCTGGAACAAGCTGCAGCGTGCGCCGGGTCAGACCCACTCCAACATGCCAGAACAACATCCATCCGGTCTTCGTCTTCTCTGGGAAGGTGCCAGGTGTGAGTTAAGGTGCCCACCCCACAGATCCAAGGAAATCAAAACAAAAACAGGTGAACAAAGCATGATCGGGGACACGCCAGCACCATGCAAGGGACGCAAAACCGAAGCATAAGGGTCTGGCACATATGCCAGGACAACCAGGATTAAACTAAAGAGGGAAGGACGGGGAGGGAGAAGCAGCGGCACTTTGTAGATCAGTTCACAGCAAAGGTCCAGGCCATTTCCCAAGCAGCAGGATTCGAGAGGTGGCAGCAAGCTGAAGTACTGGTTCAGGCAGCCTTGTCGTGAGCAAGCCACCGGCAATGTGAGCTCAGGGCAGGCAAACGTTGCACACACCTTTTAGGAGAGGGACACGACTGATGGCTTTATCTGCAACATGAGCATACGGTTTCTTCTTGGGCGTCCGGCGTCCTCCTGTATCCGGCACAGCCTCTTCCAAAGGAGCATCTTTGTCTTCCATGTCATCTTTTAACTCAACAGGGAGTTTGGCTGTTTCTAGCAAGGGTCCAGAATCTTCTCCCTCCCTGGGTTCAGCTTCTTTCTCGGAGATGATTTCAGAAGGCTCTGGTGGGGTGACATGTGTGTCTTCTCCCTTCAATGGCTGTCTCTTCTCCTCTTGGTCCTCTCCTGCTTTATGCGATTCAGTTTCAACAAGAACTGCCTTTCTTGGGATGTCTCTGAGGACATCTTTGGACTCGTTTTCTTCAAAGGCATATTCTTCAAGAGCTTTCTTGGCTGTTGCTGGACACGAGCCTATTTCAGCTTCTGATGAAACATGTTTTCCCACCAGGGAAAGCAAATCCTGTTCAGAAGTTTCATCAATATCACGGTCCTCATCTCTTTCCCGTCCACTAGCATCTTCTTTTAATGGAGCTCTGGTATATAAAGGAGATGGCCCATCTTTAATATGGGAGTCATCTGTGCCACCTGCTCCTGCCAACCCCTCAGTGTGCACATCACGACCTAGCTCTGTTCCCAGTGCTGGATCCACACCAATGCCTTCTCTGCCTCGATGATCCCAGAACTCATTGTTGCCTTCAGATGCTCTGGAGTCTTGGTACATATCCAGGGGTATTGGGATGGTGACCTCGATTCTGGTAGGAGCTGCCGTTGTAGCCTTCGTTTCATGCGACAGAAGAGGCTGCTGAAGAACGCCAGCTACCTGCTTTGTGGGCTCGCTTTCTCTTTTTATTGCATCTTCCACACGCTCCTGAGGGCCAGGTTGTAGCTTTGGAGAGCTTGGCTCCCCTGAAGTTCAAGGCGCAGAGTACGAAGCATGGGCAAACAATTAGCACAGGCATGTCAAATAAGTAGTCAGACACATAATGCTGAAGAGAGACTAAGGATTTCTACTATCAATCTAGAGGAAAAAAGTAAGTCCCACATCATCCCATTGAACAGACAACTCACTTCTATAGTGGCTTTTGCCTTTAAAGAAACTCTGATCCCCATAGGAATCAGGAACAGTGACAGCCACAGTGGGTGGGAGACCAGACTCCTCCCTTGACCCAGTCTTGGAGGTGGCTGCGGTATCCCAGGCATGTGCCATAAAGGCCAACATCTGCCACACCTGTGGTATATGAGCTGGTTTAGCTATAGAAGTTTTCAGAAGCCAAGAATACACCCATTTTCTAATCTACCAGCACCACTGGACCATCAGTCTGCTAGTCAGTGACCACCTCTTCTTGCCTTAAGGGCCCAAACAAAACAGGCCAGACACCCTCCCCTCCTTCACAGGCTTACAAAATCCCTACAGTCTTCTCCTCCCTTGCAGGAAATGTTCATGCAGACGTGGCACCAGTTACATCCTCCCAGAGCTCAAACCATCTCTGCTTTGTTCTCCAGATCATTTCTATCACTAATGAGCTTGGGGAAGAGCACTCCTACGTCTCCTCTATTATTGCTGTGTATTTCAACGGCCAGTGGAGCAGAGAGCCTCAGTGGAAAGGACTGTAAGTAAAAATGTGGCTGTAGCAACACAGCCACAGCAATTTTGGACTGCGCACCCACTCAGGCTAATCAGAGCTCCAGCACTGCTGCCACCACTTGGGCAGAATGTGACATTTAAAACCCAAAACTGAAGGTCTCAGAGACACAGATCTCTCTTTTTTTTTTTTTTTTTTTGGGGGGGTGGTTGTAAAAGAGAGAATTCTGTTCTACCGCTGATCTCATGCATGACACAGTCCTTTACAATTTCACCCAACAATTGCTGCATTAAGCCATATATTCTAGTTGAGCTGGAGCTTTTCTGTTAGAAATTCATTCAACTGAAGCAAAGATGCACTGAGCAATGGAGAATTCACCCTGAACATAGGTAAATTGCTTTAAAGTCAACTGCCCTAGTAAGAATGTCCATCTTATATTATGAATTTGTCCAGCTTCAAATACTCTTTGGTCTTTTTCAGCACTGATCAGGTAAACTAAAGAGCCTAGATCAGAGCACTTCAATACTGACATTTCTATTGTTGCTTTGTCAGATTAACAAACAAGATTAAAACAAGAAAAGAAGTCAAGACTGACTCAGTCTTTTATCAGTGTTCTCCCCATTCTAAGAGAATATAATGGTTAAGTGAAACTACCACACAAAGATCTCCAAAATTGTGGTTTAAGAGAAATCTTAAATTGGCACCTACTGGCAGGTAGTATTTGAAATGTGGCATCAAGAAACACCTTTTATAACCACAGGGATTTGAAGGGTGTTTATGCAGTAGCCAGCAGACTGTCCTGGCTCATTTCTTCTGCAAACAAACAGCATGACCATTAATGACTGCTGGTGCAGAGATGTGGACAGTCAGTTCATTAGCTGTACTTCCATATTCCAGGACCTGTTGGGGGTTCTGAGACAACCCCGCAGCACAAGGTCAAGAGCTGGCAGAATGCCAGCAGACCGAAAACTACAAATCAGAAGACTCTTCTCCACCTGAGATTCCAAAGGCATTTTAACACGCTCCATCTTCACTGCAAAGATCATTTTTTCAAATCCCACAACACAAAAAAATGAAGGTAGCTAGTAACAAGATATCCAAGACTCTGTGTGTATTGATAATTGTATTTTCCTCTGAATTAAAGAGAACTATTAAAAGGAAGCAGCGCATTATCACAAGTCCACTTTCAGAGAAGTAACAATTTACATAAGAACCTAGAAATGTCAAATATAGGTTATATCAGAGCTCCAGCTAGCTGTATGTCCCCATATCTGACAGCTGAAAGATCCCAGGACAGCACAGAAAGGTCTTATTAAAAATCTGTGAGAAACAGCAACTAGAACCAGACTGAAAAGGGCAGACAGAAGAGAGAACTTCATCCCTCTCCTGCTAACAGTCTTGATTTCTTTTTTGTAGTGGCACCACCACTTTAAATACAGAAGAGTTGCCAGTCCAAGAACCACTGGACAGGCAAGCAAAGGTTTTATTTTAACTGCAGGGAGTGGACTGTACATAAACTGTGCTCATCTGTGTGTGGAAAGCAAGGACGACCTGAATTCTGCCCTGAGCTGAGAAGGCAAAGACCAATTTAATTCTTTGAAAGACATGGATGTCTGTAAATGCACTAATGCAGCCATGAAGAGGAAAGACGCTGCCCAAGCAACTGGAAGAATTTGTTACGTCTACTGCACAGAAAACTACCTTACAAAATGGGGTTTAAGTAAGATTTTAAACAGCGCAACAGATTAGCGCTGTGGTGTATTAGTGCTAGCAAGACAGCAATATCAAAGTGAGTTTGAACCCATAAGTCTGCCCCATTGGGCACAGAATTAAGCTAGCACTGGGTGCTTTGGGAAAATCCCATCCTTAAGTTTTCCACCAAGTCTGAACTGAGCAGAGTCAAGAGAGGCTTTCCAGCTAGCCAAGAGGTCCCTGGATAATTTCTTGGCTCATCTGAGCAGACGCACAATTAATGCTCTATAAACGCTCACTGCCCACCATGCCTGGCTTTGTCAGTCACATTCCCTAAGACTGGGATGAGAAAAAACACCCTTAAAAGCAGGGCATCAGTGAGTAGGTTTGAGACATGTTTTACGTTAGAAAGAGACACAGTAATTAGAGTTAAACAATTCACTTATTTCATGTGTGACATGCAGGGCCCAAAACTGACTCTGTTCAATGCTGAGCAGTTCCTCCTGGCTAACTCCACCATTCTGGCTCTGTTTATTACCTTTTCTAGCCTGGAGGATGCCCTGTTTTCCAACTGGACAAACAAGCATCAGGGCTTCAGCCATCTGAGAGAGAAATTTGGTGCATGAAAAGCTGCAGTTCCCCAAAATGAGTATGTTGGAACACTCAAAGCATGTATGACCTTCCCCTGTCAGAGAGAACTGCACAACTGCTTGTACAGTGCGGAGCATTTGCATTACAGAAGAAAATTCCCAAGCCACTAGCAACCAGCCACACATGTGTGCAGCAATAACTGGACCCCAGTGAGAGATGATTCACTAACCTTGAGCAGCATCTCCTGCAGCGTGGTCCTCCAGGTTGGGTGTGGCTCCTATGCCTGCCTCTTCAGCTGGTCCCAGTTCAGAGAAAGAACGGGAAAAACATGATCAAAACAAGAATTAAGTTGCAGCATGCGTCTGGAGAATTTATTTACCTCCCTGCTGATTCTGCCCATCAGCACTGTATTATAAGCAGGGCAGTATCAGAAAGGCAATCAACCCACACCGACGATGGTTCTAGGTGGTTCTATTCAGCCTGTGCTGTACCAGGCTGGAGACCACTTCACCAACTCACACATCCTGAGTAGCAGGTTAGTACAAGCTCCTTCAGGCAGAGGTGCAGAAAACAGGCTGTTAAGGAGCAGGGAAACTTGTGGATTTATATCCCCTCTTCTACCCCCACCTAGTGTTTACATTGCCAGCAGCACTCACATGCATGTCTCTTACCTGAGCCCCACCTTCTTGGTGTCTACTACCTAGCTTATTGTAACGAACTCTGCCAAGACTATTTAACACCAGTAAATCTGAGTCTGATATAAATCTGACACTTCAGGAATACTGGTACATTAGAGAAGTGCAACGTTCTTCACAGCAATGATGGTTTGTCCCTATCAGATTTTTTTCAATTTATTGTATGACTACTTTCAAACCGGCTTAATTAATTATATTTGTATGTCACAGTTCTACTATCTAGGACTTTCTCTGTTTTTCCCACTTTTTTTCCAAACAGTTCAGGACACACTGCTTCTTCCTGGCTCCCTGGTACAGTCAGATCTTGATCCAGAGACTGCGCATCCTTGCTAGCAGGCGAGGAGGAAACACTCTGCGTTTCAGCCCAGGGCTCCACCAGCAGCCTGGGTGGCAGATGCAGGATAGGCAATCTGGCTGCCAGAGGGAGTGTGCTGTGGGTTTGTTTCAGTGTTCAGCATTGGCAGAAGCCCATTTCCACCCATTACCTTTCTCAGGTCCAGCCTGATGCTTCCAGGAAAATCCAGTGGCTACCGCACAGGGGACACATACTCATTTTTCACATACAGACCTGACTCTCCCAGGAGCTCCTGCCCTCTTGCACACACACAGCACTGCTGCAGCTCACTCCCTTCTTACTCTGCCTCTGAAAGACCCCCATCCCTCCCTGGAAAACCAGGCCCAGGTGCAGTGATTCCCCACAGAGCGTTCAGGCTGAATTAGCCACTTCACTTCCTCTGCGTTATCCTTAAAACGTGCCGGCAGCCACAGAACTGCTGCAGTGGCCTGGTTTTCACCTGCTGCTTCAAAGACAACCGCATGGGCTGGGCTGAGCGAGAGCACCAGTGAGACAAGCAGCAAGGTCCTGTGGTGACCGCCTTGCCTTGCCAGCAAAGCGGGGCTGCTGGCAGAGGGGCAGAGATGATCAGGATCTGCAGGTAAGCGCTTAGCCTGGAGATGGGAGGCGAAGCCACCACAGAGACACCAGATAGAAAGACTGTCAGATGCGGAGCTGAGAAAGAGAGAAGAAAAGGCTGCGAGTTTCCCTCAGGATGGGGAAGGCAAGAGGACAATTGTAAGCTAGGAATTATTTCTGCAGGCCGTGGAGAAGAAAGAAGCACACATCAGGAGCAAAGCATGCCTGCGAGAGGTTTTGCAGTGTTATTGTTACGCACTAACCAGTCCAGCTCTCTGCTCTGTCTGCATCAAGAGATGAAACTGCACCTTGGTCTCCCTCACCTGTGGTTCCTTCTGGGATCTCCCCGTGCTGTTCGACACCACCCTGATCCTCGTGGTCTCCTTCCTCCACTAAAGGTGCTGTGGCATCTGAAAAACAACGCAGCTTTCACATAGCCATTGAGTGGCAAAACCCTGTGGAGGCCAGGACATGCCTGAAGAACTTTTTTCTCAGAAAAGCACCCGACTCCCTCCCTTGAGCCAGTGCTTGTGGAGGGAGACAACCGAGCATGACATAGCAAAGACAGTATTGCAGGGACACCATGAGGTGTCCCCTGTGCCACACAAACCACACATCTCCAGGATACTCCTTATGCAGCTGAAGGCTTTACCATAAACACTGTCTGAAAATGCACAGCTAACGACAGCCACTAGTGCCTGATCTGCATGCACAGCAGTGCTATCTGCATGGGGACATCATTGGCCTGGAGCAGGAAAGAACAGCTCCCATCAGATACCTTCATAAACCATCTGAGCACTGCAACTGCATTGCACTCTGGGCAGCTCTGAGACAGATAGATACCTGGCTCCATCTACCAGAGGGATGTCTGCTCATCATGACAGTCTTGATCCAACAGGAAAGAGGGACAATATCCCCTTCTGCACCAGCCAGGTTTTACATACTGATTTCTTGAGCCACATACACAGGAATTGAGTTGCTTCACAGATGATCCATCAGCCCACACCTCCAGCGGGACAGGGCTGAAACTGGTCAGCATCTCTGTCCACCTTTCTTTTAGATATTCAAATGCCTATCCCCCCTTTATCTTTTAGATCAATTCAAACTAATGCCTTTACCTGAAGTCTCCAAGAGGCAGATACTTGGGATTAAAGCAGCCAGAGGAACACAAAGAGTGCAGTTAATTAAAACGGTGAACAAGTCTCTCTAGACCACTTTGGAATTAGATTCTTTCTACACGTGGCATTCAGATAACACTCTGGAGCAGCACAGACATGCCGAGTCCTACCGATATGACCTTTACGTCAGCACAAAGTTTTGTTTTGTGTATAGACTCTCCCCATCTCATCACTCCAGCATGAATCATGCTGTACTAATGAACATGTAAGTGCAGAGGGGGCAAAAAAAGAGCTATGAGGTACAGCTAACTCCAAAAGGGAACACAGCAACCAGGATGTGCTGTTGGTATCCTGGGGGAGCACAACAATGCAAACTTCTGGCCCTGGGAGCACACAACATGGGATTGCTCCCAGCTGCGCTGAACTAATGGGAGCTCGCGGTCACTGTGTAAAAAGCCTTCAGGAAACAAACTGCAAACAACTTCCTGAACTATAATAAACACTTCACCTTCTCTTGCCTTTCAACCCACTCTCCACCTTTAAAGCTCATTATCTCATTCTGCAGAGTGGCAAACATCACTTGTGATGGGACTAATGAAGAGCATTTGTCCAAGAGTGCAGACACTCCTCCTGAGAAACCCCACCAGAACACAGCACGTTGAGTCTTTCGGCATGGTTTATCACGACCCCATCCATCATGGTTTCAAAGCAGTAAGACAAAGAGCTCCCACCTTCCGTAGTTGGGGTGCTCTTAGCGTCAGATGTTTCAGAAACAGGCTCATCCGATCCATCATCGACTGGTATCTGAAGGGGATAGCCTGGAAAACATTCAAATACTTAGAACAAGTCCTTGGCTATGAATTATGGCCTGTGCATTATGAACTCTGATTGCCCAGAGCCACAGCAGCAAGAAACTGTAACTGGAGAGTATAAAACACCTGAACTAATAAGCAAGCGAAGCGTGAAAATGCCAACCAAAAGCACCAGTGTCATCACCAAAAGGAACAAACGGAAACCCATCAGCAAAAGAAAAGCCCAGTGAACCAGACAGCTAGAAACAGCAAAGCATGGCACAAGCAGGAAAGGAGATCTTAGCAACGTAAGCAGAAAAGATGTACAACTTCGGAGTCACTGTTGTCCTCTCTGCCATTTTTGGAGCCGTTAGCCTCCCTCCCAGAGCAGGCTGCTGAACACTTCCACGATGTGTTAATTCTCATAATTGCAAACCAGCAAGTCTTTGTAAAGGGCTTGGCGTAGCACATAATGTACTCTGCGAAGACTTGGTTGCAAAAGTCATCTTTAGGAAGAGCAGGGCAAGAGGCACAAGTCTCCTCTCTGCAAGGAGTCTGGGCAAATAAAACAAGGAGAACTGGAGAAAATGACTTGGAAAAGAAGATTCAAACTAGCACAAGCAAAATCCCTGGGAACCTGTGATGTGCAAAGCTGAGGCTACAAGCTTAGAGGAGCTACCGGACTGAAATGCATTACAGAACCCCGGATGAATGGATGCTATGGATTCTCCCCAGGACAGAGGCAATCCATTTATCTGGTGTAAGGTGTGTCCAAAGCACCTCAAGAAAAGAAAAGTAAGATGAAGTTTATATGGATATAGCTGGGAGTGAGTCCCACCAGGTTTGCTGGCATTATGTGGGTTTCCAAGTTCAATTGTGGAGCATGGTGAAATGAAAAAGGAAAGGCTTCTTGAGAAATGCAGGTCTGAAATATGGGGCAAAAGACTCTTGCATGGCCCCCACTCCCAGAGCTCTCTGTTCAGTTCCCCCCATCTCCCTGTGCAGGTGAGAAAAGCAGGCAGCAAGCAGCATCCTTGAGCTGTCTCTCCAAATAAAAGCAGTGCTGTACTTTTATAGCAAACTAAGGAGCAAACACAGAAACACATATTTGCAAAGCTGCAGCAATAAGATCATCACTAGTCTGGATACTAGGGGTTGTTCTGCTCTTGCTGGGCAATGATATTTAACAGCAGCATTCTCCTATGACTGTGAACATCAGAAAATCTTGTGGGCTACCCACTGTCCACTGGCTGCAGCCAACTGATCCACGGTAACCTTCCAGACACACATACCTTCTCCTCCTGGCCATCCCCAAGGACCCCTCGCCCCCCTTGCACGCTGGGCCTGCTCTCCCCACTTAGGTCATTCTCTCGGCAGTGGGCAAGGCAGGTGCTTTACACCATCTCCTCCTGGAGGTGCTCACCTGATGGGATGTGCTTCTCCTGGCCAGCTGCGTGATCTTCCATCATGGTGACGTCCTGACGCTGCTCCGCCATCTCTCAGCAAAGTTACCTAAAGAGGAGAGTAAAAACAAACAGCCATTAGGCAAAACCTGACACAACACACCTTCATCTGGAGCCCAGTTGGTGTGCTCCCATATACTGCTCCACGAGACAATTTTGGTTTGTCAGCCAAATTCTAGGAGCATTAAACATCCTATTGCAAGCCATCAGCCAACAACAGCCAACCATCTTTTCAGCCACTGTAAGAAGATATCTACTTTGTTCCCTTTTCCTGATGAGCCCTGAAATTACACCATTGTGCTCAGGGAAGGTCACAGCTCAAGATACATGTTACCTACTGGGTTTCACACCAGTGCTGAAATACTCCCCAGAGAATCTAATGCTAGTGCCTCCAAATCCACCAGGAGCATGTTTTATCTGCAGTCATCAAATAGAGGAAGACGCAGGAAGGGAGTGCTAACATGCCAAATTGGGATCTAAAAGGGCTGCCCCAGCCAGACAACACGCTTCAGCAGAGCTGCACCAAGCTCTCAGCAGGTCATGGCAATCCACACTCAAGAGGGCAGAAAAAATTCACCTATGGGCATGAGCCAAAAGGAAAACATGGATTTTGCATAAAGGACATATAAAGGAGCAAATGTTCCTTGTGAACAAAGGGAAAGTCTAATCATTCCTGCACAAGCAAAAGCATGTGCCAGTCACTGCATCCATCACAGTAAGGATATAGGCAACTTCTTCCCAGCTGCAACATCAAAATTCCACAGGTATTTATGATGTCCCAAGTAAAATGATCATCCTGGTGCACACAGGACACTGCTCGGCCACCATTTTGTCACAGGTGATCACTGGGAGCAGCATGCTTAGTGCAGACATACTTCTGCTGCATGCTCCAAACTCTGCATTTGCCAGTTTAATCAGTCTCTCAATAGAAGTGTCTGCTGGCAAGGTGTGATGCTGCTGCAGGAAAGGATGCCTTCTATCCCTGTGGATACACCCAGCAGGGATACACAGCTATAATGATACACTGATCATCGTAAGAGCAATCCAGAAGTGACATACAGGGGTAAACCAGGACTCTCCAGAGATGGATTTGGACCAGGCACTCTTAGAGAAGAGGGTCTCACTTGGTTGTGGGTCTGAGAGGACAGCACAACAGCTGCTTAACCCTGAATCCTTCTTGCAGCACTCAGAAAACCAACACCGTGGTATAGAGCAAGGCGCAGTAAATAGGTCTGGACACTGGAGTGGAAGTAGAAAGCAGCTAAAATTCAGATTTATTTTTCCAGTGTGCATCCATGTAAAAGGAAATGAAGTCGCCAACAAACTATCCACTTCTGTGAAGCAGGGACTGTGTTTCTCCTTATTCTCCATGCTGATTGGACAGACATTGCTTTTAGTTGACTTCCTAATAGCTGATATAATTACAGCCATTGACAGTGATTAATAACCAGCTATTAGTGTAATCGCACGTTTTCCATGACCATTAGGAGCAAATGAATCCAGCAATGAAGCTCAGGTTACCAGCAGTAAGGAAGCAAACTCACGTGGTTTTGTTTGCTGGCAATAAATTAACTGGATATATGGAACTATGCAAGAGAAACTCCAGTGCTAGTAACCAGATCTCTCACCCAGTTTTTTTTAAGCCTTAGCAAGTGACTATGCAATTTAATTTCTGCCTTAGACAGCTACAAAGCCATCTGACAGAACTATACCAAGTAAGTTTGAGAACTTGCCCTGAAAGGAAATCACCCATAAAAATTGAAGTATAAAATAGGAAAGAATTAAGTACCTAATTTTTGCCCCCAAAAATGGTGGGCCCTAATTATTTGGACATATGGATGTCCTCCTCCCAGAGCTCAAAGGATCATATTGATTATATCCTGGTCTCATCTGGCCACCGCTTGATACTATTTACAGGTCTACTTAGCACTGAAATACTAAAATATAATGTTAACCTAGTGTACAGGCCACAAAAGCAACTTGGGCATGAACATGAGTGTAAAATGACACACAAATGCGCTGCTCGTGTGTGTGTACGCACATGTACAGAAGAGTCACCTCTCTTGCCCCACATGCACACCTGGGACTGAGTACAGCAGTTCTTCCCATGCACTGCCCTGTCTGTTGGTAGGAAAACATGGACGGGAGAAGCAGTTCCTACCCCACTCACAATTAGTGATCCCTAACAGTCCTCTGAGCCCAGCTCAGTTCACTAAACATCTGTAGATCTTAACATCTTTGCTTCCCAACTGCAGACCCAGAGGCAAACCACTCACAAATCTGCTGCGCTAGATTTAAATGAGGCTTACTGTTTCCTTATTCTGCCTCCTTTTCTCTCTTCCTCCCACCTGTTTTTTGGAGAAGAGCAGTTAGTGTCTCCCCCAATCTCCCTGGAAAGATACATTTAGTCCTTTCTTGCCTCTGGACAAGAATTTCCTGGGACACCATGGAGAGAGGACTCCTAGCTTGACAGCTAGTGAGCTCGCATACCCCACTGGAGGCTCATCTGCTGGCTCCATGGACAGCATCTGACACAGCCAAAGATCTTCCACTTTTCATCTGAATAGAGCATTTGGCATCTGTGCAACCCTGGCACAGCAGCAGCGAGCCATGATTCAGCAAAGGCCGGTGGATCTGCTGGCGGGCACGCGGGGCCGCCTGGCCGCAGGGCTGACTGTGGCCCCGCTTCCCACTGATCTGCCAGTGCCAGGGCTTTTCAGCACAAAGAAACGGACGGGTGTTTTTCAGAGAAGCTGACGATCTTGCTATCTGTCGGAGCTTTGCAAGAAGGCCTTTAACACTCTCCTGCTCACAGCTGAGCAGAGACAGCTCCCATTCCCACTGAGCTCCACGCATGGCAGGATAAAGCCGTCTCAGAGCTAAAGGACTGGAGATGGGCTCGGGAGGATGTAGCCATTAATTTTTCAGAGACAAGACAGAGCGAGCAGCCTTTTCTGTTACAAGATAAAAAGCACGACCAAAAGCCACAAAGATCCATCAAAAAACCACTCAATGGGACCCTGACAGCACCTGAAACCTGGCTGCAGCTTACAAAACACCCTGGACGCTCATTCATTTGGGGGCTAATGCCTGGTTTGCTAGGGTGAGCAGAAGCATCTCCCAGCAGATGAAGCACAGTGTCCTCTCACTGTGTCTGCAGCACAGCAGGCAGAGAAGCAGAGCGACTCTGTGCCTGAGCCACTGAGTGCGGCAGTCAGTGGTGGAGAAGAACAAAAACTCCTCAAACTGGTGCAAGCCAAGGGGCAGGGCGGGGGATCCAGCTCCCACATGGTTCCCACAGCATCTTGCTTTTAGCTGAAGAAATGCCCACTCAACAGATGCCTTTCTCACAAGCGCTGCCCCTCCCGTGTGGCTCGGAAAGCATTTCCTACAGCCTGCCCTCCGAGGCCTGGCAGAGCTGAGATCTAAACCCATTACAATAAGGCTGATGAAATTTCATCAGCACCAGATAAGCAAATAAATAACATTAAGCACACAAAGCGATTCAATGGGTAAGTACGAGTGAGCCGCCACCACCATTATCTCTAAGCTGCAAAGCTCTCCCAGCAGAATTTGAAATACACGGGCCATATAATCATACAGTCCTATTCACCAGGAACATCATCTATAAAGACATTTTATGCCTCTCCAATGGCTGCTGAACTTCATTCTCTCCCTCCTCCCTCTTCATCCATTGTAGATGTCAGCTAAAAGCATTGCTCACTCAAAACTGTACTGATGATGCACACGGTTTTGGGACAGATCTGTCCTGTTGAAACCAAGAAGCAAAACTGAATTGCCTATATGCAAACCCCTTCTTATTCTAGAGGGGAAGTCTCAGCTTTGCTTGGGTTTTCACTCAGGTAGTAAATTCTTATGACTAAAGAGAATTTAAATCTTTTTAAAACTGAATATTTTACATTAGACTTTTTAAACAAATATGGTCTGAAAATTGTGCATTTGAAAACCTACTTTGAATTTTGAAAAACGCCTATAATGATAATCCTCTTTGTTTTTCAAATGGGGAAGGGGAAAACCCTCTTGGGGAAAAACGTAACATTAAGGGGAAAAATATTCTAAAAACTGTAAAACCAGCCCCACCTTGAAGCAATGGTTCAGTAATGAATAATTACACCAAGGATAGCTGCACAGAGATAAACTTCAGCAGCACCCTCTGCACAACAGATAAAGCACAAACCCTCCTAAGAATCTTATCCATTTCCAACAGAACTATTCTTGTTAACCAGGGACACTATCTAAAAAGCAACAGCCTATTCCATAATTAACAGCTCCTCCAAACCTCACATTTTTCAAACCCACAGCCCACCTTTCAAGAGAAGACACGTATCAAGCAGTCATTTTGAGCTGTGCGACAAGGTACATGAGGAGGCAAGTAGGAGAGCAAAGTTTTTGTTGCCGGGAGCAGGAGAAACAGGCTGATTTCTGGCAGTGTAGGCTCAGCATTTCATGCCTGAACCAGGCCCCAGAACAGTCCAAGTAGGCCTGTGTTGTACAAAATGTTAGAGGCTAAAAGCCAAAATAGCAATTTACACCCCAAAGAGGCCAAAGTATGCAGGACCACATATCCAGTAAGGAAAAGCCTTAAGTGAAATGATGCAAACCTTTAACAGCCATCGACAGGACTGAAGTTCAGGTCAGGAAGTGAAAGCTATTAGTCAGCTCAAGGTCCACAAAGATGAAAAAAATATAATTTTACTTGTGGAGTTTGGCAAGGATACTGAAAGCAACATCACTCCTCTCACAGGAGGTTGCAGAGACCTGACAGTAATGCCTATCAGCTCTATGTGATGGTTCCCACACTGCCTGCAAAACCACACACTGCCTTTTGTCCAACACCCACAAAGGTCTCTGTGCCAGCCTGCGGCCAGCCTGACCTTGCTTTATGTGCAAGATGCAATGATCATGAGTCAAGACACCAGAGCCACATCCCTGACACCATCCTGCATTCATGCCCAGGAGAACTGAGCCAGAAATGAAAGCACTGCTCTTCCTCCACTGCCTATTCTGCAAATTTATTTTCTAAATAGC